TAATATCATTATGTTTAGTGTTATTATTTACAATAATATTTTCAATAAAAAACATAGCTGACTAACTAATAGTCTCAGAGACATGGCTTAACATCAACAAAGGGTAAACCTTTACATTTATGAAAAATACTGGTGATTCATAAAATTTCAGTCACTCCTAAATCAAGTGTTACATTTTCTGATTCTAATGCACCTTTACCAATACTGTGCTGAACATATTAACCTAAATATACAACATATGTAAACATAACTAATTTCATAGATTCTGCCTTGGAACAATTGATTTTTTGGGGAGGGGGTGGGGGTGAATTTATATAGTGTAAGATTCTACTCAAGGCACACCAATGGATTAGAACAAAATTGTGCAAAATAAATAACAATGCATAATATATATGGGTGTAATATGTTTGTCAGAAACAATAATGTTCCTGGAATCCACGTATTTGATAGTGATTGATAAATATTGATTGATTCATGATAATTCACGTATTTGCAAGGACAAGGACCCCAGAAGTCTACATGCAACAATCCTAAACATTTAGTTGAAGAAATATCTAGTAAACATTGAAACAGTTCCCTTTTACATACAACACAACTGGAGAATGATGTCATATTCTGTTTTAAAGTTACAATACTAACAATACCCTTACAAATCATGCTTCAATTTTGCTATAGTACTATACACACATCTCTCATGCCACAACTTGAGTGTATTTTCCATGTCCTGTTGGAAAGCTACCTTATTTAAAGACTCAAATTGTCATATTTCATAAGGTTTATAACACTAATATAACAGTTAACTAAGTTGATGAACTGTCATGAAAACTAAACCACTCAGATCATAAATGGTTAAACCAAAATTTTTTCTACCAGATGACAAGCAATTTTTTGCAATAGATCCTATCCAATTAAATTTCTGTGCATTTCTGGTACAGAGCAAGCCTAATCTATAACTCAGTGCTAAATTAACAGTTGTAATACCTTGGCATTAATGTTATCTTGACTCCGAATAATAGACTTATTTGAACTCTTTGACTATATAAAGACTTCCAGGATATGATAAAAATGAGTTGATATACCTGAATCAAGAACGAAAGTAAAATTCCCTGATTTTCGCCTTTATTACTAAATCTACAGAAGGCATATTATTTGTCTCTGCCCAAATTTCAGAATAGGAAAAAATCACAACATAAAACTGTGGCTTCAACAAACCAACTTCCAAACATGTTGTCTGCAACTTGACTGGTTTGATTACTACTTTTTCTTGACAGACAACTTCTTCTGCCCTATTAAATTGATGACTAATTGAAAAATTTGCTCTACCACTTGCACACTGTTACACTAAACCTTGCTGCATGCAAAATGTTGCTACATGACCAAAACAGCACATTTATAACAATGAACACTACTTATCTGATTACTGGTGCCCTTGAGAATGACAATATCACAACGGAGTTTTGCACACCTCCTGTAGAGATTAGAAATCCTGCAAATGCTCCCAAATAATTATTAATGTAAACATCTAAAATTACTAGAATGTTGTAATATTGCTTCTTCAGCAGAAAATATGCAACTCCTGTAGACTTAAATTCATTAATATACTATTGATAAAGTTGTCAAACAATAACTGCATACCAATCTAGAACTTCCAAAATTATCTTGTAGGCAAAATGCAATTTGCTAATATAACAATTTTCATTCTTGAGACATCTTGTCAATTTCTTCCACCTGGCAATGTATAATGACACCCTTTGATCTGGTTCCATTCATTCACTACAAAATGAGGCTGTAGTATAATAAAGTACTCTCAACAAGGGATCGAAGTTGGATTTTGAAGTTTCCAAGTACCTCATGGGTCATTAACACCAGCTAAAATAATTTCACAGACATTTCTAGTGATAAAAATAAGTCGCCAGGTTATCGCTAGGACCGCTAAAAATTGCTATACCCTTCTTTTGGAACTATTGCTAGCTCAGAATCTACAGGTGCTGCTTCACTCTCATTGACAAATCCAGGAGTATGGTACATGAGCAAATTCCCAACATTACTCTTCCACTCTCTGTAATTTTGTGATGCTGACAACTTGGCAAAATGCAATGCATTTCAAGACTCAACCAACTTATTCCCATACCAAAAAATAAACCAGTACCAATCAGAATGTAAATTAGTTTTACTTGTACTTGCCCACTTAAATTTTTGTGAGAATAGTAGCTCCACAAATGTACACAATGCTCATAAACTGAGGTGCAAAAATGATGTGGCAATGAAACATAATTTGATGAAATCCATCATTAATGATAGATTCTTTCACCAAGATGGAAAAATTCTTTATCAGAAAATTTTGGCAGAGCTCTTTTTCATAAGTGTTTATACTTTACACTTTCTCATAAGGGATTTCGCATTAATTGTAGTCATGTTGAACTTTTTCTGATTATGTAATGTAATCAGAAGTAACATTACACAATCAAGGAAAACTACATTAAGTATTTATTTTGCTAAGGTAATCATTGCTAATCATCAAATAATATCCTAATTCTCCATTACAATAACAAATAACTCAAATACATCACAAATTTCACCCTTCTCTCTATGGAAATGAATTCCTATAATAACCAATTTTCATTTATTTTTGACAGTCTAGGGGAAAAAGTTTGAAGAATTGCATAAGCTCATGAAAGTGAAAATATCAATGAAGACCACAAAATGAAGTACACCTATTATGATGAAGGAAATATTGGCAATTCCACCACAAACTTGTGGAAAAATGTCACAAATTATCCATGGTCCACTGCAAACTGTTGTACATTTCACAGTGGGAGGCTGACTGCAGTAGATTGTATAAACTTTAATTAAATGGGTTCATGCCAGATGGTTCAACCAGTCTGTATGAACAGTTCACTGTCGTGAAAGTCCCCTTACATTCACATGCCTCCTATTTGTACATTTACCTTTTTTTTTTTATTTTAATATTTTTAGAAAAAGTTTTGTGTAAGATTTAATGTGGGTATAATTGTGTTACATTACAATAATTATTCATTTTTTATTTAAATGATACATTTTGAATTGTCCAATTCACAACAATATCTTGAAAAGGCTATCAGAATCCAAGCTGATAAAATGGATAAAAAAAAAAAGATAACAGCATTCCTGCATTCCCTTTTGTTTGACATCAGAATATATGTCAGCTCCCAGCAGGTTTGCTTGTTGTTGTTGTTGTTGTTGTTGTTGTAGTTTTGTAGAAAATTCTCTCATAAGCAATTTATGTATACCATTGTACCATTCCCAGAAGTCAATTTTGAGGGCTCTGAAGAATCTTGCTTTATGAGATATACCATTAGAGTCAATTGACAGAATATGAACAGGCAAGTAAATAAATATTCCAATTCCATAGTAAAATTTGTTCTCAATCATTGTTAAACAAAAGAATATTGTGAAATTTTTCGATGTGTTAATGCTTAAGAACAAAGGAGCAAATCTTCCAAAATCAAACTCAAATTTTTTGATGCCCATTGTGATATAAGTGAACACAGTAAAATTTATGTTAAGATCCAATTCTAGTTTATGCATTCATCAATTGATATTTCCAGGCACATCAATTGCTATGATCATTAGTATCACTAGTGTAGTGAATGTTTTATTTCAGAAGGTGACTGTGTTACTCCCATTGCATAGAGAGATCCGACACCTAGTCAGCTTGCAAGGGATTTCTCCCTCCAGGTATCTCCCCCCTCAGCAGGGCACCATCCACAAGTTGTAAGCAAAAACCACTGGTCTTCCGACAAGTGTGGTAGTTAGTGTATATAAGTGTAAGTGTTGCAGTAAATAGCGTAGACCAAGAAGAGGAAGGAAAGATCACATGTAGACCATAACCCATTTGTAAGGGTTCTGCTCTGGCATTCACCCGTTTCTGATCACAGAAAACATGGAAAACTACCAATCAGAGCAGGCAGCCCCTACAATTCTCCTCCAGACAGTGGATGAATCTGACCTGTCAATATACAGAGTCTCGAAATTCCAGAACAGACAGAACTTGAACCCTCGGTCCTCCCGGTCAGAGCCAACAACAATGCTGGTTCTGAGTATAACTAAGCCAATCAACTCTATAGTATCCAGGTTGCAATGCAAAAATATTTATCAAAAGTATAAAACATAATATACATTCGAGTGTAACAGCACAACAGATTGTTTTAAAAAAATTCACCTACTATGTGCACTGAATTTCAAGAATATCGACTTTTTTATAAATATTATGAGCATTTATATAAACTGGAGTGTCTGTCTGATGTTTAAAAAATAACTGTCTCTCTACAATCCCATATGCTTCCTTAAATGACATAAAAAACAATTCAATTGTTTTTATGATTTTTGTCTCTCTATATCTGTGTGTGTGTCTGTCTCCCCCTATCTGTGTGCATCTGTCTCCCTCTATCTGTGTGTGTGTGTGTGTCTCTATCAGTGTGTGTGTGTGTGTGTGTGTCTCAATCTATGTGTGTGTCCGTGGGTGTGTTGTGTCTGTCAGTCCCTCTCTGTCCACGGCAGTCTCTCTGTGTCCACAGCAGTCCCTCTATGTTAGCATCATCAGTCC